TTTCTCCATGCTACAAGCTTTGTAACTTGTACCAACTGCACATATATGCAGGTTCTCTGAGCGTCGCTTCAAGTAGTGACTGTGACATGGCTGCAGAAGCTGCACTGCAAGGTGCGGATGAGCTTCAGTTTGTGGTATTTTAAGCCTCTTACTGACACATTGTCGTAATTTCATTTCTTCAGGACCTGCGGTAGAGGCTTCAAAAAGCGGCTCCCACACATTGAGGTGCCCCGATGAACAGGGTGGGTTCAGTGTCGCGATTTTTTTTTTTTTACCCAAATTGACTGTTGACCAAACCTCTCAGGTGGCAGCTCCGTTGTAGCTGGTGAAAGAATTTCTGCTGATTTCGTCTTGCCGGAGAAAACCTTAACCAGTCGTTCAGCTGTCACAAAAGGAACTTGTGTGACCGGTAAGTTGTATGTTCACTTCAACACCAGAGTGGATTGATATAGAGACTTCCGCAGGCCGCTTGCAAGATTGTTCCGACAGCACTGTCCGAGGCACTGAACAAGCTTCACAAGACCCTCCAGAAGACGTCTCCGCCAACAGCTCCACGCCTGAGTGCCCTAGAGAAAATGGTGACTATGCTTTTATTGCAGCAGTTTTTAATGTGCTATTTTATGTTTAGGACATTCTGAGGAAACTATCCCTCAAAAGGACACTACGTGTGCACTTACAAAATGTAAGGGTGGGTTCTCAGTGATTTTCATTTTTTTTTGTGCATTGTCAACATTGTGAATGCTTTGTTTTTAGGTAGTGGAATCGAAAACTTTGTACCACAGAAAGTTGTGCACCTTGGGTCTGAAAGAGCGAGGAAAGTGCTCGTATGGGGTTAGTTGTTCTTCGCTTTTACATCAATTTTTTTGTTTATTGCAGTGCGTTCCTGTGTGCCAGCGACAATGTCTCCATCAATGAAGTACAAGCAAACCATTAAACATCTGCAAGCCAAAGTAGCAGCACAGCGGAAAACTATCAAAAGACTGCAGAGACAGCCTCACCAAGCACCGTCATCGACTTCGAAGGCCCTTGAAGTTATCCGACCGCACGTCACCGAGAAGGTTTTTAAACTTCTTTCTGCACATGTTCGCTTGAGGCCCAAACGCAAGGGCAAGCGGTTTCCCGTGTGGTTCAAGAAATTCGCTCTTCACTTAAACTTCCGAGGTCCGCGAGCATACCGATTTCTGGCTCCATATTTTTCTTTGCCCTCCCAGCGTTCATTAAGGAGGTGGCTAGCTAATGTAAAGATGACTCCAGGCATAATTCCAGGAATCCTTTCTTCCATTGCAACAAATACTCAAGCTTGGAATGAACGGGACCGAGTGTGCGCTTTAGTTTTCGACGAAATAGCACTCAAAAAGAATTTGTACTATGATGCTGCAAGGGACGTTGTCCAGGGTTTCACAGATGATGGCACTCATCGCACTTCAACCATCGCTGATCGAGCACTGGTTTTTCTTCTTGTTGGCGTTTCAAGAAAGTGGGTTCAACCGGTTGCTTTTACTATAGGGCACAAATCAACACCATCATCTGTTATGCATAACTTGCTGGTGTCACTCATTTTGGAGCATAGGAACATTAATATTGCAGTGAAAGCAGTCATTTGTGACCAGGGCAGTTCAAATGTAAGTCTCGCTAACCAACTAAGAGTGACTGTAGCAAAGCCTTTTTTTGAAGTTAATGGTGAGCGGGTATATTACATTTTTGATGTTCCACATTTAATTAAAACAACGCGCAATAATGTCCAAGCACACAAGTTATACATTGATGATGACATCGTTAACTGGTCGCACATTGTAAGCCTTTACCAATCCTCACATGAGATGCGGTTGCGATTGGCTCCAAAGTTGACTGAACGGCACGTTCATCAGAAACCTTTTTCTAATATGAAGGTCAGCAGAGCAACTCAGGTCCTCAGTGCATCAGTTTCGATTGCTATCACGGCAATGGTGTATGCGAAGGTGCTGCCTGCCTCGGCCATCACTACAGCTCAATTTTGTGATCGTATGGACAGGATTTTCAATGCTTTGAACAGCTCGAGTAAAAAAAGAACTTCGCAAAAGCTGCGGCATGCAATCATGAAAAATGATTCAGAGCTGATTGACTTCCTCCGAGGCCAGCTTCCCTGGATTGCATCATGGCAGTTTGCTGGCAGACGTCAACCACAAACCATCGTAGGTTGGCAAATTACAATTCAGGCAATTTGTCAACTATGGGACGACCTCTCCAAAAATTACAATTTTGAATACCTGTTAACATGCAGGCTTCAACAGGATCCTCTGGAGAACATATTTGGCCACATTAGGCAAAAACAGGGTTGCAACACCAACCCCAATGTAGCACAATTTATTTGTGGCCTGAAGCACATCTGCATAAGAAAACTCTTCAAGCTGTCAGAATACGGAAATGTCGAGGATGATGAATGTGACCTCCTCCAGGAGCAGCTCTTGCCATTCTCCCTCACCAGTGCGTCTCTTGTGGATAATGAGGAGTGTGCACAGCCACAGCCTGACGACTTTCCCGCTCTAGACGATCTCTCTGAACTTGCGACAAACATTCACTCCCATATTATCGATGACTCCGCTGCATATTATGTAGCTGGTTTTCTCATCAAACACTTCCTTCGGAATGCATGTGATGGTTGCAGTTGCCCACAGTTACTGAAAGACGACAGTGAGACGCTTAAGGGTACCCACCAGTATTTCACAATGCTCAAAGAACACCACGTCCCCAGCAAACTTTTTGGGAATCTCACTGTGCCATCAGAAGCAGCTTTTGCATACGTACAACAACTTGAATCTCACTTTCTTGCCATAATTGAGGCCACTGCACATCACCTGAAAGTGTGCGATGTTTTGTATCACCATCTGTCAAGCGTTGGCGATTTTCATTTCTGCTCTGCTGGGTGTTGCGCGAAGTTTCTGAAAATGTTTTGCCGGGTTCGTTTATGTTGGCATGTGCATTTTGTGAACCGAAACTTAGATAGGGTTAGGTTCCAGTCTTCAATCTCGGGCATACAGCTTGACAAGTTCAAAGGTTAGCAATTAGCGGCGGGTTTACACTAAAGTATTCGAGTTGAGCCGAATCCTGCAACAGCTTTGTTATGTTATTACTTCATTACAGCAGACTTCATTATGGTCTTATATGCTTATATTCAGCTCAACTGGACTAGCCACTCCTTCGTTGCATACATTGTTTAGGTTACCCGCTATGAGGAGTAGGGACACTGTGTATTCGCTCGAAGTGATTTGCATAACCTTAAAAAGAATGTTGGGTATCCTGTCTGTATTTTTGTAGCAAATGCGGGCAAACTGTACACTTTACTGTGGCTCACTCTGTCACTGTGTATGCTTTATCTCTCCAGCTCAAGTAATATATCGATAACAAAACCGCTTGTTGAAATGTCTTAGAGCGGGTAAGGAACACAGTATGAAGTGGGCACGGTTCACGTTATCACGCTTTTCGTATTTCAGCTTCTCATCAACCTCCTCATCTCGCCCATCAGAATTTTCAAAAGAATACCCAAACTTGTAGCGTTTGATGGGGCTGCGGACGCTGCCATTTTATTTTTATATAGCTTGTGAGTGATAACGTACGATGTAGAGCCTTTGTGAAAAATAATGAGCCAAAGTGGTTTCCTTCTGCTATTTATTAGCCTTGTAATACTGCTCTCGTAGCACCAATTAAAGTCCACAATTCTGGATAAAGTGATGACTACAATCTATTTTAGCTCGCAAGCGTCACAGCAACACCCAGACACAAATCACTTGGGATCTTAAGTTTTTGATGAAGGCGACGCATAACGAAAGCCACAAGACCTGTCAGTGTTGTAGCATAAAGTTTGTCTTTCACGTAGTGAGCAAGCTGCAAAGCCCTACCTTTGTGAGGACAAGCAGGCATCAAGTCTGCTTTTTTTTCATTTTGGACTAGCTGTTCTTAAGCACAGCCAGCACACTACACCTTTGCCTTTCTGCTATATTGTGTCGTGTGGTTTCTGTGCGCTCTTTTTTTCTATGCATTATTTCGGTTAAGCCCAGGCGTGATTCGCGACTTCATTGCTGTGTATATGTCACTTCTTCATCAGCATTGTGTGCTGTGTTTTTGCCATAGATTCTTACCCACTGGCCCGGTGTTTCATACTTCACCAGCTTCGCGGCTTCTGCCAACTCTAGCGATGTGTGCGTTGTCTGTGTTCTCTATGTATTTGTTACAATATTTGTTAAAATTTATTTGTAAGGCGAGATGCATTTGTTGTCTACCTTTGTCATATTGTGCTTTTTATATTCTCATACTCTACCTTGCCTTTGAATAAAACATTGCGGATGCTCTGTTTCTTTGACTGATATATACATTGATCACTTGTTCCAAAAGAAAAACACAAGCGCGATGAATAAAACCGTAGTGAATTATCATTACCTGCATTTCTTTTTATTATAACTTAATCGAAATAAAAATTACGTCACGACCGATTCGCACGAACCACTGAACAAAACAAAACAGGGAATCGCTAAATCAAAACGACCTACAAAAACTATCCATTTGGGCGATGAATAGTGGTCCGAAATCATGAACTTTCGTCATAACCAAACGTCGGTTATGCAAAGTAATTCAAAATTTGCGCCAGTGAAACCGGAAGCGCACGCCACTTGTTCTCACCAACCACTAGGTGTGCTAGGGTCGATTGGGCTGCTGGGGTCTACGGGAGTGTCCACTCTTAACCTTTATTTCTCTATGGCGTCACGTCGTAATCGGGAGAAATAATTAAAACACCAAGTGAAGTGAATCAAAAGTTTCAATTTTCAGCGATGAGGGATTATTACACTCAACTGAGAAGAAAAGCAATGACGGCTTTTGCCTTCGAGTTGTCAAAATGTTGGCTTTAAAACACGGTGCTTCAAGTGTTTTTTTTTTTTAAGAGCGTCACTACTCTACTACTACTACGAAGTAGTAGTACCATACTACTACTTCGTTTCCAAGGCTGTCAACAAGCAAGGCCGCGCAACGAGTCTCTGACAAATGAAGAACGCCAATAAAGAGCCATCGCTGCCGACATCAACCATGTTTGGTTCGGTGACATGAGGAAAAAAACAATCTGACGACCACAGCCACCACACCTACTTTCGCTGACCGTATTGGTATTCCAGCCACCGTAGTGTTGATTAGTGAAAATTGTAGCGCACTTTTGCAGTTGCGCCTTAAGTGGTGTTTCCTATTTTGACAGTTTTTGCCCTGTGCATCTTCGTTGCCGCACGTGCGTGTGCCGAGGTGGAGTGCGAGCGTCACCGTGTGACAGTGCTTGTGGCTGAAGTCAAGCGAAATTGGTGCCGGAGGTGATCTACTAGATTGTGTGAAGCCTGCCACATGCCGCGGACCGTGACAGCAAGCTTCCGCGAGCATGGTACGACCAGCAGCTTCGAATGTGACACTGTAGTGAAGACGGGCTGCGCCGTCCTTGCCGCACTAGAGTGATGGGGCCTCACGTGAGCAACGCAGTTGTTTTCGTGCAGTCCAACGAAACGGTCAGCATAAATTGACGGACGTCGCAAAAAAAAAAAAATAGCGCCTATAATTGGACTTGATGGCTTTAACGATCTCTATATCGTGTCGTCCGTGTAACAGAGGTCGGGGAAAAACGGCGTTGGACTAATTAGTGTTGCGTTGTCTGAAGTCAGTGATAGCGCGGAAATCAAGCAGAGAACGTCAACTCGAGCGCTAACTGTCGGCGTTTTTCTTTATTGCAGCAAGGCAATATATACATGCGAAAACAGCCCTCTCCACACGCGCGAGACTACATACTCAAATCTAAACAAGGATAATGAAAACATCTGTTTAGTCGTTATTTAAACATTCCAAATCGCAAGCTTAAGGGGCGCGCACACGAAACTTTTCAGTTGTTTCTTTGCATCAAATAAAAAGCCAAGTCTTCCAGAGCCTAGAAAATGTGCTACTAAGCATGAATGCTCCCAGAAGAAGTAACTACAGCAATTTTTTAAAAGCTGGTAGTGATCCCTACTGTATGCCGGTTTTACAACACGGTATGACGTTCTCGTCATGTGTTTTCTCAGCATCTCATGATGACTCCGCTGCTGCTCCGCACTGTGGCCCTGTTGGTGATGCACGAGCGGCCGGTTTGATTGTTTTGGTGACACAAAAGTGGTCGTTTTTTTAAGTTTTGGTACCTGACGTCATCGCAGCTAGTCAGATTGCTGCATTAAATCACCAGAATTAGTATTCTAGCTTAACGTCAAACTGTCCTTTATGTCAGTAGGTGTGCCATGGGAAAATTGACTTTAACATAAATATAAAATGCATTGTAAGTATTGCCAAGCTTCATCTCTGCTCAGAGTTGTCTCTGTATACAGGAAATTCGTGTGGCTGAGTAAGCTTGCCTTCGAAAAATAATGTTGGTTCTTCAAAAAGTGCCTTTCAGGTACGTGATGTCCCGTTTGCTTAGAGGTGTTTAATTTCAACTGACACACGAAAAAACCTATTTGTCAATTGTGTATGCTTTCTCTACCACACGCATGTTATCTTGGTGATGTCTCTCAAAGTCCTACGAGTACGAAAATTCGCTAAGCACCCACAGGGTGCGCAATGAAGAGCCAGACTGCTCCCTGCATAAAAATGTACAGTCAACCACAGAAGCTTGCAGACCGTGCAAGCGTGTGCCAAACTGCCATTCTGTTTCACCTAGTGGTGTGCCATCTACTGTCGACTGCAGTGCTAGGCGAGAAACGGGTCTTCTTCTTATTCACTGGCCTTTTAATTTTTTACTGCCGCGTAGCGCATTGTTAGTCCGCAGTTCTCATGCAAAGCCTTTATTTGCAGTATAACTGTCACACTTGTATTTTGATATCACGATCAAAGCTATCACGGTGTGCCTCAAACAGCCTTCCATTGGCTTGTTGTCAGTTTATTATAGAGATGGCAGCTAATAACAGTTATGCTCATAGACTGCTCTCAAGGCAGAAGCACGTAGATGCAGATGCAAAAAAACACTTCATATAAAAAGTGAGAAAAAAAATTCCTTTTTACCCAGTCAGAAAAGAGACAGGCCACAGGTTAAGAAAGGGTTGCTGCTCGGGCGCTGCATTGCTGTCCAATGCCGCTGACGTAGTAGAAGTGCAACAAAGAGGCTTTTCACCACGCGCTCCCATGGTCCTTAAAGATATGTGGTCGACTGTACGTCAACCATACCAGTTGATGCCTCAACACGCATCTCAATGAATGTAAAAACAAAAGTAGGGGAGCAATTTGTTTCTTCATTGTGCAGCCTGCATGTTTGCACCAGAGTTTAATGCATGTAAGTTTTTGTGCAGTCGTAGTCAAGAAAAAGTGCGGGTGATAGAAGGGGTGATACACAATCCACGAAAACCATTTTTCATGTGACAACATGGCTTCAATATCTGTAAACAAAAAGGAAATAACAAACCTAGAAAGCATTTCTCAGGCTTGTGGTTCGAAAGGCTTTAATCACGACTGAAAAGATGCTTCCATCATTTTTACTTAAATTTGATTGTATAGTCTCGCACATCCAGCGCAGGCTATTTTTGTTTTTACGTATTGCTTTGGTGCAATACAGAAACCAGTTTTTAGTCGGCGCTCATGTTGACGTTCTTTCATCGTCCGTGTTGTACACACCATCATTCCATTAGATTATGTGTTTTGCTTAGTTAATGTTTATGTTGAGGGTGTGAAAGGTGGAGCTCATGAGAATTTTAGGGGAGCTACCGCTCTTCCGTTCTCCCTGGCAGCACATGTTAGTTAGCTGGTTATGGCAGAACAAAAGTTTGATGGTAATTAGAATCTTGCACTGACTATATTGATATTTATGACAATCACCACATAATTTAATAATATTTAAGCTAATTACATGCTTTTTAAATTTTTTTGGTTTTTTAAAAAGAAAATAATTGGAAAGTGGAACTGAGCAATAAATCATATTATTTATTCGTACTATACTATGAAGGTGGTCTAACGCTACTACAAGCAGTGGTTTCCAACCTCTTGCATTTTCCGTTAGATTGCATCATATTTCTGCACTGGATGCAAATTGTCATAAATTCATGACAACCTGTACCTAAGCGAAAAAACGGTCTTACGAAGGCAAGGGCTGCATGTGTATGGTGTGTAACGAATATGGAACAAGAGGCATGGAATGACAATGTAAGCTCAAAAAGATGCCATTGCTGAGACCTTTGATATTTAAGCCACATTTTATAACCCTTGCAAAAGACTGTTGGTTTCTGGCAACGAAAGCTGACTGGCAAAAATCAACTTTCTGGTTTATTTAGAAACAAAATGACTTTTGACTTACCACATTCCTAGGTTTATATTTATTTTTTAAGAATATTGTTTGTCATATTGTTTTTGCTTATCTTTAATTGATCTCGTCATTTTTCTTTTATAGCACAAGCTTTGACTGTAACATTGCTGTTATTTCTAATCAACTTATCATTAGTCGTTGTCTATGACACAGGAGGTTCACCTACTGCTTGGAGCTGTCAGACCTCTATCTGAATATTTAAATTTTAATTTTTTGTACTAAAATCTAATAAACTTAATCGTCAATATAATCTTTTCTTTGTCATTAATCGTTATGCATGGAATTTCAGTGTCCTGTTTGGCACTGATTTCACATTTAGATTGGATGACTGATGTGTGAATGCATGGTGCATTTTATCATTGTGCCTAAAACGTGTTGGGAGGTAATGTGCTTCACTTGTATAACGTACAATGTGCATAGCTGACAAAAGTTGTTCCTGAAGCAACATGAACATCTGTAAGTGAACAAATTGGATTCGTGGCACTGAAATTACAGCAAAAAAAAAAAGAATGACATTACGTACCTGTTATTTCATCGTCATAACTGCAATTGCTGCTATGAACCAGCTAGCAAGAAGATCGGTATAAGCAAACAAAGCCTTCAGGCCATGGTAGTAACTTTTCCTGTTAGTACAATGCTGGGCTGATTGTCATCAAACATTAGCTTCATTTATTTATTGCATCCACCTATGGAAATGTGGTGCTCCAATATGACACACCATTTCCTTTCTTTCAGGTCGTGGAACTATGGCAGCAACGTGGAAGATCTGTTCAACTCATTGAAGCTTGTCTTGCCAGATCAATAGAATCCTATTGGATATGCAGAGAACCAAAATTAAGAAAACTGTAACCAATACCACAATCGTAGCAAAAGAGCTGTCCTTGTTTTAATGTGCTTGTTTGGTGCAAAGTACTGAGATGTGCTGTTATTTATATCTTGTTTTTCAACCAGTTTGCGAATAAGCTTGCACTAGTATTTGCAGCAGGGCCGCATGCACAAAACATTTCACACATTTGTCTTTAAATGAGTGTCCTAGCTTATCTGCGGAGTACAAAAAGTACATGTTTTTAGTTGTAAAGTGCCTCTGGTATTACATTATCGTCTAGGGAGTAAGTAAGATCTTGAATGCACCTTTTAAAAGAAGTGGATGTACTGTTACGGTAAATAATATCCCTGTAAATGCCTTCCCTGCAGCCCTTTTTTTTATTGTTCCTCGTGCATGCGGAGCCTAGCTGCCACTGATGATTTAATGTCTGACATTTGGACGTTAAACCCCACATATCAATTATTTAATCAATCAACTAATATGAAACCTTAACCACTGTTTGCTATTAAGCCTCTTCGACATGTGACTGTCCGAATATAAGTTGAAGAACACAACTGAATATGTTCTGGAAGCACGAATTTTCATGTTTTCTTAAAAAACTAAATGTTAGTTTTCAAGATTCATTCCCTGAATCTTTGTTTTTATGTCTGTTTACTGGCCTGTATGAAACGACAGGGTTTTGAAGATAGTGTTTTGAAAATTAGGAACGACGGTGGAGGGGGGGACAACAATAAGAAAAGTCGCTAGTTTCGGAGCCAGTCAGACAGTTGCCCTCTGAAAAAGAGACCAAATAGCTCCCAGAATATAAAGCCAGTTTTCAATTTCAATATTGAGAACTATAGACTAAAAGTGGCTTGAGAGTTATAATTTCTTGTTCAAAAAGCATCGAGTAGCCAAACTGCTTTCTATGCTTCCTTCTTGTGTGACTGGCCATTGGCATTCTATAATAATGAACCAGTTCATGTGCAGTATGCCATTTAATTTTTGTGTCTAGAACCAAGAAAATATAATCTGTGATTCGGCCTACACCTTAAGCTCAAGTCAGCCAGCTTTGACAGATTTGCAAACAGTACTTCATATGTTAACTTGTGGCCAGCGTCATTTGCTTCTTTATTATTTCCTGTACCTTCGTGCTGTTTTTACTCAAGTGTGTGAGTATGTTTCACTGCCACTTTCGTAGGCTATATTGCTTGCTTGTGTCTGAAGACAACAGGTATTGCTGCGTCCTGCTCATAAATTTCTGCGTACGCGCGCAGACTTGATCGACATACCTCCCGAGCTGTCTCCCCACGAAGGCTTGAGTGAGGAAATGAAGCTACAGCCTGGCCCTGTGTGCAGCGAAACCACACCTAGCTGTGAAAGCGAGGGGAAGAGCCGGGAACCGCACGTATGCAGCTACTGTAGCAAAGTGTGCAAGCATAAGAGCTTCCTGGAAAAACAGCTACGTAGCCACACAAAAAGAGTGTTGTGCGTCATGTACGAACACGCATAAGTGAAGTCACTTTGCTGTTGTTTCTGCCCGGCGACATTTGCCACCAACTGGCAGAAGAGGAAACACGAGGTGAGATGGCTTGTACAGCGGGTTCCTCACTATGTGTTGCCAAGCGTACCATAGCGTTAATCATATGGTGAGCAAATGTTACGTATCCTTTTATACAATAGCATGCATGTTTAAGTGCATGATCTGCCCAAATTCTTGTTGCATTTGTGTGTTCTGCTGCTTAGGTGAATCCTTGGGTGCATAGTGGCTCAAGCTATCTCTGAAGCTTTTTCTCTTGAGGACACTCATTGTTTTACTGGAGTATAGAACTTTTGGCTTCCAATGTTATGTGTGGAAAAGATAGCTTCAAACTGGCAAGTCAGTGTTCTCTGATAGCATGGGTAATCTACAGGCTTGTAATCACGCGCATCACTTTTGTTTTAGGGCACCGTGCCTATAGAGTCAAGGGTCATTTCTTTAAGAAGTAGCTAGCAGTGGGGGAGGCGTCTGCTTCAACATACCTGTAGCAACAACACCCCGAGTGCCTGCATGAGCGGGGTTTCGAGTGGGTGACCGCAGAAGTGCCGCTTATGTGGCAACTGTTTGGACGAATGTGTGACTGAAATGTTTGCGTCTACACTGGCAAAAGACCTGCCACTCTCTGTAACATGACATTTACACATAAAGATAAAATGTACCGCTCGTTCGCCACTTACAATGCATTCAGACGACAGTTCGCTTCGATGCCTCTTCTGCTCAAATGCGCTTTCTGAAAGTAAAAAAAAAAAATAAAATGTCGGATGGCACATGCACGGCAGGCTGCTCAGAGTATAAGGTTGAATGTATTTTAGCATCATTCGTCTGAAAAGCATCCAAGCAGTGGTCATCAAGCAGGATGTCAAACCCAAAATTTTCACAGGGATTTGGATTCAATGTACATTATCTCACTCTGTTTCATTTCCATTAAGGCAAAATAAAAGTCTTTAACAGTTTGCCATACTGATATTAGTCTAGTTACTTTCAGTTGTTCTAACTAGCCACTGTGTCAGTTTATTAAAGAATTATTTTTCTGGCTGCTTAGAAATTTCAATTTGTACTTGAAAGTAATGTCTATGTTCTCTTGCTCCACCTCAACGAGCCAAATGCATGAACTTTCGATTCTTAACAATACTTTGTGAATGTGTCACTCAGAAATCTGGGACATTAATGAATAACACAAGAAAACACTGGTATTGATAACAGTGGCAAGTGGCAGCACTGGTGTGTCATTGCACATCCAAAGTGCAATCTGGACCGCTTTTATGCGGTATTTACGTTGCAGATATGGTTTGGGTGCACATTCAGTTCCAGTGTAAATTCTAGTGTGGCAACTATACTTGATACAGGTTCGTTTTGTCGGCCTGGTGCATAATGTGTTTCATCACTGCATGTCTCCAAATGTTTGAAAGAACCCATATGTGAGATAAAATGTTGTGAGTGAGTGATATTGTTGAGTTAGTTGCCAGTGACACCATCGCCTTTGTACCTCTAAGCAAGTGTACTTTTCAAATAGAAGTTGTTTCATTTCTGAAAATGATTAGCTCAAGTTTTCATCGTCATCATCATCATCATGATCAGCCTGACTACGTCCACTGCAGGACAAAGGCGTCTCCCATGTTCCGCCAGTTAACCCGGTACTGTGCTTACTGCTGCCAATTTATACCTGCAAACTTCTTAATCTCATCTGCCCACCTAACCTTCTGTCCCCCCTGACTCGCTTGCCTTCTCTGGGAATCCAGTTAGTTACCCTTAATGACCAGCGGTTATCCTGTCTACGCGCTACATGCCCTGCCCATGTCCATTTCTTCTTCTTGATTTCAACTATGATATCCTTAACCCCCGTTTGTTCCCTAATCCACTCTGCTCTCTTCTTGTCTCTTAAGGTTACACCTACCATTTTTCTTTCCATTGCTCGCTGCATCATCCTCAACTTAAGCTGAACCCTCTTTGTAAGTCTCAAGGTTTCTGCTCCGTAGCTAAGTGCCGGCAAGATACAGCTGTTATATACCTTCCTCTTGAGGGATAGTGGCAATCTACCTGTCATAATTTGAGAGTGCTTGCCAAATGTGCTCCACCCCATTCTTATTCTTCTAGTTACTTCAATCTCGTGGTTAGGCTTTGCGGTTATTACCTGCCCTAAGTAGACATAGTCTTTTACAACTTGAAGTGCACTATTACCTATCTCGGAGCGCTGCTCTCTTCCGAGGTTGTTGTACATTACTTTCGTTTTCTGCAGATTAATTTTAAGACCCACCGTTCTGCTCTCCTTGTCTGACTCCGTAATCATGAGTTGCAATTCGTCCCCTGAGTTACTCAGCAATGCAATGTCATCGGCGAAGTGCAGGTTACTAAGGCACTCTCCATTAACTCTTATCCCTAACTGTTCCTATTCTAGGCTTCTGAAAACCTCATGTAAGCATGCGGTAAATAGCATTGGGGAGATTGTGTCCTTTTGCCTCACACCCTTCTTGGTTGGCTCAAGTTTTAGTTGATGTATAGTGCTCGCATTGCTCGCATACTCAAACAAGACTTCGGGACATTTAGTAAAACGACTGGTATGCAAAATAGCCTAAAGTAACAGCATCGTGACACTATGAATCTGTTTGCCTAAGGTAATGCTGACTCTGATGCAAGTGTTCAAATACAAATTACACCACATATGACATGAACTGAAGGAGGTGAAAGCAAAAGCATCTGCATTACTTAGCCCTTACATGATTCAGCAGTTTTCATTAAAGTACTTGCCTTTACCAGATACAATGCGAACAGTATGCTTAGATACACATATATCTACCTAAGACTAAGAGCAACTGGGTATTTTGAGATCTTCACAATGAGGCAGAAGGTGGAGGAGGGTTTTTTTTTTTTTTCACATACCTTCATGAGATTGCACAATACTTGGGGCCCAGGCGTTCATTATTTTCTTTGTTAGGCTCAACCTAATGAAGCCAATGAAAGCACGTCATCTGTAGTTTCAACTGTGGTGTAGCAGTTATACATAAATAGAAATGAGTCAAAGCTGAGAAGATAACGACTTGCCATCGATGAGGACAAGACCAAAAACTTTCGAATTTCACGTCCAACATGCTAACAATTTGGCTACAACAGCGCTTGTTCTCCCGTCCACTTTATTGGACCTTTATGTGCGTGTAATCTTGGGAGTGGACCAATGCCACTCATAGCCATGGTGGCAAGTGAGGAACACTCTTTTACCAGCTGGTGTCGTGTAGTACACAATCTTTTCACGAGGTTACAGCTGGCGAATAAAACCTCACTAGCAAGCTGAAGGTTTCAGGTCTGCTCGAATGTGACCCTCTTCCTGAAGAAACAAAAGAAAGGACATGGTCACGTAGGATCATTTCTTTGTCGTCTCAACCTAATAAAATAAACAGAATATTAGTTTTAGTATTAGTGAAGTGACTATGTAAAAACTAGAAGTAATGTGGCTAGGGATTTAATATTGGTATTTGCACAGTGGCCATATCATATCATTCATGCTTTACCGGGCGTAGAAGCTGCTTCGCCACACTTGATGTCTGTCAAGGGCGATGTAGTTGCTTTGAAGACTGATCGAAATCAAATAATTGCAAAATGATGTGCCCAAAAATAGTGCTGATATTCACAGCTGAAGGCCATGACTGTCTTTTGTTGTACCATGCTACCCGCAAGCACTATTAATTTAATTTCAGTGGTCCGATTATTGGAGCACCTCAAAAATAATACGTAATCGCAATTATTTTTGAAATTATACTTAATATATCTTGGTGCATGTGCTTGCATGTGTTTGTGTGGCGCGTAATATATATATATATATATATATATATATATATATATATATATATATATATACATACAGATGCAATATTCAAAATTTTAAGGAAAGGGCATTCATCTCTCCCCCCCCTCTTATTTTGGCTTGGACATATAACAGTTCTGTTTTATTTTTTCTCAGCAAAAACTTCAATACAAGCAAAGAAAATTTAACTGGCTGACTGGTACATTATTTTTCTTACCTGAACTGTCTAAGTAAGCAGTATTGTATCTCAGCACATTTACCTCTGCTTCCCAACAGCCATGTGAGGTGTCAACATGCCGAAAGTTTTCTATGCATCGTCGCTTTCTTTGCATACACTCTGCCTCTGCAGGTGCACCTGTCTTTGTTTCACGAGAGCTGTAGCTTCTTGTGTGGTTTAAAAAAGTGCCATCATGTTATTGAACTTCTTGTACCATTTGATTTGATAAACACGTTATCACCTTAGCTGCTTTTGAACTAAAATAAATAAATTAAAATATGATGTAACTGAACTAAAAGAAATTAAAATATGACATAACAGCGACCATATTTTCTTGGCTTTTGAAAATTTGACCATTCATTCATATAATACATATGCCTAGCAGTTGCATGTCGATGGGCAGTCTTGCTTGATGTCCTTTGGTCCCTTCATATTATAATAAAGAACGGAGACAGTCAAAACTGTTATCCGAGACCAGGTAGGAGCGTAGGCCTAGCTAGCGAAATCAGCGACAGTCCGGGCCGAGCATCTTGTGCTTAGCACTGACAATGTGTTTGCCGACATTTGCATGACCCACTACATTCATCATTACATATTTCCCCCTCGCTGAAGATGGTGCCAAGTAAGTGTTCTAAGGTGTCGTGAGGACAAGTGGTTCGTGATATGGTTTGAGGCGATCCACATGTACGATTTCGCGGCCTCGGCGACGCAGGTCCACAGTGGCCGTGAGGGGTTCGATGAAGTAGTTAACAGCGGAAGTTTGTTCTATGACGCGATGAGGTCCATGGTACCTGCTGACAAGCTTTGTAGAGGTACCAGGAGCAGCACTGGGGGGCACCCACAGCCAAACAAGAGAGTTGGGCGAAAATTGGTAGTTGGATCGTCCATCGTCGTGACGAAATTGTGTAGCCGTGAAGCCCATCGTGCCAAGCGTCCTGAGGGATCTTTGAGGGAGGATAACCAGCAGAGCGCGTGGTGGTCGGTAACAACATCGAAAGGGCGGCCACACAGATAAGGCCGAAATTTTGTAATGGCCCAGATAATCGCTAGGCATTCTTTCTCAGTTACCGAATAATTTGCTTCTGTTCTTGTAAGAGTGCGACTCACGTACGCAACAACATATTCTTGGTAACCAGGCTTTCGTTGGGCGAGTACAGCGTCAAGACCGACACCACTAGCATCTGTGTGGATTTCTGTGGGAGCGCTTGAATCGAAATGACGCAGTATGGGTGGTGTTGTAAGCAGTTCACGGAGCTTCGCAAAGGCACTGTCGCAAGCTGGAGACCACGCAGATAGATTGAGGTCTCCCTGAAGTAGGTCTGTCAGAGGCGCCATGATCGAGGCGAAATGCCGGACGAAGCGGCGGAAGTATGAGCAAAGCCCAATGAAACTACGCGCTGCTTGAGAGACGCGAGCCTCGGGAACTCGCGAACAGCACGTAGCTCAGCGGGGTTAGGAAGAACGCTATCCTTCGACAGGACGTGTCCGAGAATGGTCAGCTTGCACGCTCCAAAGTGACACTTCTTCAAGTTGAGTTGGAGGCCTGCTGCAGAGAGGCAGCGTAGAACCTGTTCCAAGCGACGAAGGTGCGTGGGAAAATCGGGCGAGAATACCACTACATCATCTAAGTAGCACAAACACGTGTTCCATTTGAGGCCTCGCAGGATAGTGTCCATCATACGCTCAAATGTTGCCGGTGCATTGCATAGCCCGAACGGCATCACGTTAAATTCGTATAAGCCGTCTGGTGTAACAAAGGCAGTTTTTGGCCTATCATCCAGATTCATGGGCACTTGCCAGTACCCAGAGCGTAGATCAAGGGAGGAAAAGAACTCTGCGCCTTGTAAAGAGTCGAGGGCGTCATCGATTCGAGGCAAAGGATAAACATCCTTTCGTGTTATTTTGTTTAGGCGACGATAATCTACGCAAAAGCGTATCTTGCCATCCTTCTTTTTAACTAAAACAGCCGGCGACAACCAAGGACTGTTTGACAGTTGAACGACGACAGCTTTAGCGTATCACCTACTTGTTCATCAATGATACGGCGTTCAGTCGGCGAAACACGGTATGGTCGCTGCCGTAGTGGTGGGTGATTACCTGTGTCGATCTGGTGGCATACGGTAGATGTTCGACCTAAAGTAGCGCTGTGACTGTCAAAAGATGGTCGAAACTTGACAAGGAGGCTCAAAAGCTCACACCTCTGTTGTGGGTTTAGGCCTTCGTCGATGACACGGTTGAAAATGTCGGTAGTGGAAGGGTCATTCACGGAACTACAGGAGAGGGCGCTGACTTCCGATGATTCATCAGAAACGTCAAGTGTAGCGATGGTTTCGAATGATTCTATCGAACCAATACATTCGCCTAGAAGTAGCGTAATCGTGAATGGGAACGGATTCTCCACAGGCATGTTGGTCGCACTACCTTGAAGAGTAACGAGAGCGGTTGGGAGCGGTGATAGGTGGCGATGAACGAAAGCAGCAGAAGGCGTGAAAAATGCGGTAGCGTCGACGACGGTGGAATACGACACAGGTGCGAAGACAGTAGCGCGTGGAGGGATTTGGGTGTCGTCACTAATGACCAACTTCGCGTCGGAAGGGCGATCCTGCGCTGGTAGGGCATCACCAAAGGGACAAAAGGCGACTTCGGCACGGGCGCAATCAATGACAGCTTGGTGATGGGAGAGAAAATCCCAACCTAAAATGATGTCATGAGAACAGTGCGGGAGTACTACGAACTGGACTGTGTAGGGCACTCCTTGAATTACAAGTCTGGCAGTACACGCGGCCACAGGCTGCACAGGCTGTGCAGTGGCAGTATGAAGACATGAACCCAAGTAAGGCGTTGTCACTTTTCGAATTGAACGGCAAACTTTTTCGGCGATGACAGAAATTGCGGCACCAGTATCAATAAGGGCAAGTACGGGTACACCTTCAAGAACGGCATTAATTACATTCGGCGGCGAACGAAGAGGGCTTGTGCTTTGCGACGAGGACGCAGTTCTTGCCTCGGGAACTGCGTCATTTAGTTTTCCGCGTCGATTGTAGGGGGGTGTCGGCGCATCGGGGAGGGCGAGCGTCGACGTGGAGAAGGAGATCGGCGATCAGGAGCTGGTCGGGGGCTTGGATGAGGAGCGTACAATTCGGGGTCTGGGGTATATTGAGTGTACGTGTAATCGTTCTCATATGGACGTAGGTTTTCACGTGAGTGGAGTGGGCGGCGGCGGCACAGACGTGCGACGTGCCCAGGTAGACCACACGAAAAGCAGATCGGTTGGTTGTCGGCAGTGCACCATGGATTAGGGACTCGGCGAACTGGAGGTCGTGGCGGCTGGGCGGCATAAACAGGAGCAGGCAGTGGAGGCGGCGCTTGGAACGTCTGTGGTGGTGCTCGTGCTGCTGCTTCGGCGTACGTCAATGGTGCATTGACTGGTGACACCAGCTGCGGAGGAAGGACCTCAGACACTTGATCTCATACAATAGTCCGTAGAGTAGGGCTAAGCGGTGCACTGTGCTCCGGTAGGCCAGAGATGAGCGAGAGTTGGCGGGCAACTTCTTCGCGCACGAAATTTTTGATCTGTGAGAGGAGGACGGGGTCTTGCAAGGGAGTTAAGCCGGACATCGATTCCTGATGTGGGACAGCACGGCGAGTGACAAGACGTTGCCGGCGGAGCTCATCATAGCTTTGGCAGAGCTCGGTAACTTGGGCGACAGTAGCGGGGCTTTTTGAAATGAGCATCTGGAAGGCGTCCTCGTCAATACCTTTAAAAATATGCTTGATGCGGTCCACCTCTGTCATGTTCACATCGACGCGTTTGCACAAGTCAATGACGTCTTCTATGTAACTTGTAAAGTTCTCACCAGGCAGTTGAGATCTCGACTGAAGGCGCTGCTCCGCACAAAGTTTGTGGACAGAAGGACGACCAAAGACTTCGCTGAACTTTGCCTTGAATGCTGTCCAGGTGGGAATGTCGGTCTCATGGTTCCGAAGCCATAAGTGGGCAATGCCACTGAGGTAAATGCCGACAGTGGCCAGTCTCGTGGCTTCGTCCAATTTGTTCAAGACACTCACGAGTTCCTAAGTAGCCAGCCAGTCGTCGACGTCGTGATCGTCAGTGCCGCTGAATATGGGAGGATCCCGCTGACGGACTGCGCCAGAGCACGCGATGGCCTGGGAAGCCATAGCAGGAGGGCTTGTGGCAGATGCAGTGGTCATGACAGCAGGTAGAGTCCGGCTTCGCAACTCCAGGATTGCAAGGAGACCCCGCAAACTCCACCAATTATAATAAAGAACGGAGACAGTCAAAACTGTTATCCGAGACCAGGTAAGAGCGTAGGCCTAGCTAGCGAAATCAGCGACAGTCCGGGCCGAGCGCCTCGTGCTTAGCACTGACAATGTGTTTGCCGACTTTTCCATGACCCACTAATCATCATTACAATATGTCTAGGTCCATGCATATGACAGTCTCTTAATGACAGACTGTCATTGTTTCATTGACTAAGTTGACTGATGTGGTAGACAAGTTAGTTGCAAATGGGGGCATTTGATTAAATTTTGGTTTGCTTTTGTAACATTGCTTTTAATCAACATTGTGCCAAAACAGTGTTAAGATAATGAGCATCCGTTAGAGTATAGAATGTTGAATTGTTGGTAAAATTGGTTCACACACCTACAAGCAAGATAAACTGTAGAGCCATAATTGCACCACTTTCCACTAACGCACTTCAATGTGCTTTATCTCAAAACGTTATGCTCCATCTGTGTTACTAAATGATAAGTGCAGCACCAATATAACACAGCTTTTTTTTTCTTTCAGGTCGCGGAACAATGGCAGCAACATGAGATCCTGGAGTTTTGTTCATCTCGCGGCATTTAATCTTATTAGGCTTGATATAAATGTATTGCATGTATAGAAAAGTGAGCTAAGAATGGCACAAATAAGCAAGTCAGTGCTAGTGGAACCAAAATGGCTGCCTCTCCAGCATTGTGCTCTCCTGAAATGAGTTCACGATTACGATCACAAGCTTGTTGATAGAATTGTTCATGATCCAGTTTGTACAGAAGCTTGGACTGTTAATGGCAGCATGAAATGCTTCATTAAAGGCTTCAATTGACTCTATTGCCAATTTCACCATTACAGGCTTATTAATAGCATATAAAATTAAGGTCAAAGTTTCATTTTTGAATTTTGCACTGAAATTTCTGTGCATGACATCACAGATTTCAAAAAGTTTTGTTTGTATTTCGACGAACACTGGCTCCAGGATTTTTTCTGGAACTTGATGTGCTAAAGCTTTAGCTCCCTCAAAGAACTACATGCTTCATTTTTTTATTGAATAGGAACTGCATAGGCCCTAGAAGTCGCTGTCAAAGTCTGTCATGTCGTGTCGAATGGTGTGGGGACTTCAAGGGGCGCTGCCACCAGCATTTTTTTTCTGCACGTTTTCTCGCTTACCAAGCATCTTGTCGAGGCAAACTTGGTGATTTTGGTATTGTAAATGTGGGATTCACTAATACAGAAATAGTCATTTCGCTTTTTAGTGTCCCTTTAGCATGTGGGAAACACCTCAAATGCTCATGTTGCCATGCCTGCATTATCGTGTGGGCGAATGTTGTCTGTCTCTTATGTCATGTTTCTTTGTGCTGCTTTTATGCAAGTGTGTGTGAGTGTTATGTACTGCTGCATACAATATGGTATCTCTTTCATGATGTTAAAAAGAGAACAGGACAGGGACTGACTTGCTCTGACCATTCCAAAGCGTCAAATAATGTCATCTGTGTCTCCGGAATGGGCATAGCCAAGGGAGGGGCTCAAACCTCCACGAAATTTTAATTCTTCAATTTTGTTTATATATACGTTCACACATTCAAATGCACGTACGAACATAGTTGAGCCCCCCCTACTGGTGTCTGGCCTACATTTCGCTCTAGCACGTACAGTTAGTGGCTCATTTACATGTCAAGTGGCAAGATTTGAGGAAGCCTTGTACCCAGTGACCTTTATTTAAGCTAGTTGCGAGAAATCGGTCAAGGAACGAGAAACAGAAAAGGAGTTGTAAGAGCAAGAACTTGGTTGTTATGCCTTATGCACGCAAATTTTTCTATGGCCTCAATATCTTTACAGTTCAGTGCAGAGTATAAGTCGTTTATTTGGCTCCCAGTAAACTGCGTGCGGTGTGTCCAGTAATAGAAAGATTGGCTGTAGGCCATATTTATGACTAAGCATTACGAATAATGCTCATAAGCACACCAACTGCTGGACGAATTTTGGATACTGCTTTTCACTTTCATGCAGATGGGAATGTATAGGACAGCTGGGGCAATGCATCAATGTTTTGGCTCACGAAGCATGTCTTAAAGGGGCCCTGCTACACTTCTTCAAGTAGCTATAGAATTAATTCACTGCAAAGCTTATTGCCTCATGAATTTACCCCCGCAAAAAAGTTTTCGTATCCGTCTAGTGTGAGCGGAGTCACCAGGATGTTTCGCATGCTGCAATCGCATTCTCTCTCCTCTCGTCCCAATAAAAGCACTGGAAACTAAGCCGTGAGGTATAACAAGGGGGAAAGCAAATACGTCATGCGCGATTCGTTACCTTGACCACTTTTTTTTTTTTTCTTTTCGATCAAGCGTCTTTTTAAAGCGATTGCATGGGCATACGTGTGGACAAGTCGCAGCCTCTTGCAGTGATCCCTGTAACAACTGAGTGTGCCATGCTCAAATCAGCTAATAGATGATCGAACGGCTGTGCTCAGTGATTTTTTAGTTTCTTCCGCCATTTGTCAAGAGAGAGCAATTTTTAGCTGAATTTGAGAATTTATTGCGAGTTCCAGGCCATGTGCTTCACCATAATATTTGAATCGCGTGTTCTCGAAAGCTTCTACTACCAATCGGAAGCATTTTCTGATCATCCTCAGAAAGTGTTGCAGGGCCCCCTTTTAAGTCTGAACAAGAATGGTCACAAGAATCTGCCCGAACATTGCTGTCTGTGAAAGTGCTGGCCTAATTTCAATCACACAGAGATTTTGTAACGACGACAATGACAACAACCGTAATGCGAGCATAAGAAGCTTCGCTGCCAAAACAGCAATGCACGTTACTGTGTAGTTGCTAAACCGAATCATGACCCTTGTCACACTGTGCCGTCTGCCCAAGCGTAGAGATATTAACATGAAATCAGTCGTCAAGCCAGTACAGATCGAACTAAACAGCATTGTACGCATCAGCCAGCCTTTGATTGCATAATCTGAGAGGAAAATAGCATATCTATGTGCACATTGGGATCATGTCAGCGAAGTAACATATGTAGTCTGTACCGTAATCTTCCGTTGTTCTAGATGCGAAGCATTTCTTAGCGAACCAAAGGCACCCAGATGAAGCATTTCAATCTATATACCTATTTTGCCACTTTTGTCTGGGTACTCTCGTTACTGCCTCCTTAACTTGGTCTGTACATCACCTAGTTAAGGTCATATGAATGATCTGCCTATGACTGTCTGGTCATGACATGAATAACATGAGAATCCCATTGTGTGTCATCAAGCCATTTTCTCCAGACAAGTTTGGCATGTACCCATATACAACAGATTGCAGTATGCAAGTGTGCGCCACAGGTGACTGAGAGTTAATGTCTATTCAGGAACAGCAAGAACAGACATGTGTAATTCAAATGCAAGGGCGTTATTAAAAACCAACATTGGCAGCAATTACCATAGAAATGCAAAAAATAAAAATCAGAATCTCAGCAGTAATCGAACCCAAGCTCTCTGAATTGCAGCAAGATAATCTACCACAGAGCGATTCTAGGTTTTGAACCTTTAGAAAAAGATTCTATGCAGGTGTAACGTCACTGTGCTAGCTATGAAACTTTATAGCAAGAATACACAGACACAAAGTCAGTACACTTCAAGTGTAATGTAGAACTTTTGGTTCATTGTGTAATACATTAAAAACAACAGCTTCGAAACTGCAAACCTTCAACGGCACAGGGAGTCGGCAGGTGAATGGTTTGGCTCAAGCGGCATAATTTTTTCTTGGTCGCAGTCTTCTTCACCGCACCTTTCGAGCCGAGCCCATTTTCTCAAGTACCAAGTGAGGGAAGCCGTCGTCTGGAGCATCACCTGTACGGCGACACCTCAGCTGCCTGGGTGAGAAAGCCAATGAACGGGCGATCGTACGATTGCAGCTACTGTGGAAAAGTGTTTCCGCGCAAGTGTGGCCTGGCCAAACATGTGCGCATTCATACGGGCGAGAGACCATACTCCTGCCACCTGTGCCCCATGACATTCAACCAGAAAGAGAGCCTTACGCGCCACTTGCGGGAGCATTCTGGTGACAAGCCATTTCATTGCCGCATCTGCCAAAAGGCATTCACCAGGCAGTATTATAAAAGAAGACACGAGGCGGCACATACACGGTCAGCTTCTCGTAGTGCAAGGCCGAGTGAGTCTTAGCAACATCGGTGTGATGAGGACTTCATAAGCGGGTGTGAAGCAGGGTGTCAAACACATAAACCTCATTACAACAAACTTGGATCTTACAACAAATAAGCTTGTTACATTAAAAAGTTCATTATAAAAGTTATAATATAGCTATTGCAAGACTATCTTTTATTTATTTTGTTATAAGTTATATTTTGTTATATCTATGCTAATTATATATATGTGCTAATTATATTAAGACTTTAGTGTATATGCCTTCGGGATCAAAGCACGTCATTTTGCTCAGTTTGCACTTTGCAAAAATGAAAGTCTAGTTGCTCTTGAACTGGTTTAAACCATCAAACAGCTGAACAGACTGGTTGGGCACAGTATCAACCTTATTTATGACATGCTGTACAGTGCTTTCAACAACATTAGTGTGCCAAGCTAGATCAGTGCAGGAGTGATTTCTCAAGCGAATGCACTTGTAGTTTAACATGACTTGTCTTGTAATTTTTCAACTTAATTTTGTTATCATGACCACTCATGTTCTGCGCAATGGGCACAGCAATAGTGAAGCAGCACATATTCTTATGAATGTACAAATAGCGATATTTTGAAGGGAAGTCAAATAGTTCTTTTGGAAAATACTCGTATATTTATATGGGACTTTTGTTGAAGTGGGGTAGAGCAAAAAGAAGTCAATGTGTTCTGTGCCAGGCCTGACTTCTGCAACCATCTATCATCCCACCTGTACAATAAACATCTCTCACCCGTAACATAATTGGTGGAGAGTGCTGGGTAACGCCTTGGAGCACCGGACAAGTACGGCGGAAGACACACCCTGGAGCTTCGCCGGAGCCGCAGACTCGCAGGACTTCCACCGTTACGAGTCATCATGAACCCTGACGGCAAAATCCAACCAGCTACGCCTAACACCTATGGACACCATTACAGGGAACCGCGCCCGTTCTCTGGGAAACCTGGAGAGGACGTCGATGAATGGCTCAAGCACTATCAGCGGGTGAGTCTGTATAACCACAGGGACACTACCAGTCAGCGCAACTATGTACCACTTTTTCTTGAGGGAACCGCATTGATGTGGTACGAGATTCATTAGGAGAATTTGACTACCTGGGCGAATTTCGTGGACGAAGTCAAGAAGTGTTTTGGAGATCCGACCACGATGAAGAAGCGTGCTGAGCAGACCCTGAGCCAACGTGCTCAAGTCCCTGGGGACACGTACGATGTATTATTGAAGAAGTTCTCAAGCTTTGCAAGAGTGTGGACCCACTAATGACTGATGAGGATAAGGTCTGGCATCTCCTTAAGGGCATTGCAGAGGCTAGCTATCACTACCTTATAGGAAAGGATGACTTGCAGTCGGCCAATGATATCATCCGATATTGCCGAACATTTGAGGCCCTTAATGCTCGGCGCATTTCGGCAAAATTCGGAAGACTCCCCAACGTCACAACAGTCGCGAGCATCGACGTAGTCTCTCCACTCAGCGATCTGGCATCAACAATACGATAAATAGTGCGTGAAGAACTTGATCGGCAGGACGCTACTGCACCGTCGATAGCACATGGCCATGGTTCTTATACACCATGTGGTCCTCCGCTTCGTCGACTCAAGGGTGCCGGTGCAGTTGCGTCGTCATGCCTATATGTCTGATCTGCGAAACGACTCCGTGCAAAGATCACCCCTCGATAGGGCAGCGTGGCAAGATTATCCCGCTGACCATCTTCAGTAGCGAGTGTGGCGTAAAGCACCTGTGTGCTTTTACTGCGGCGTTCGTGGACATTTAGCCCGCTTCTGCTCAGAGCAGCATCAGCCACCTCTGCTGCAGTATCAACGACCCTCGGCATTCTCACGGCGCGCAAGTACTCAGAGAGACTATCGCTGGCCACCCAACGGCTACTACCGAACCGACTTTTAACAGACCTTCGCAGCGATTTGCCGGCTTCTGTCTGGAGTGTGACGCCACCGGCTTCCTCCCGCCAGCATCGGTCACCATGACCAGGTCGTCGGCGTCTCACTTCTCCTCCTCCGCCGGGAAACTAGACGCCGCAGCTGATGGAGGTGAAGTCGCCGGACATTTTTCACTGCGTACAGATATGCCTCCGCCAGTTTCCAGTGGTACAAAACAGGAGCAGTGTTCTTATAGATGGTGTCCCCACGCCCCCGTTAGTCGATACAGGAGCAACTGTTTCTGTCATGAGCAGAAATTTTAAGACTCGTCTTGGCAAGAAAGAGATGTTCTCTTGGAGAAGCCAGGACAACGTTCGTGCAATGAGTGGAGAACCGTTGCAGCCCAGTGGTAGTTTGTACTGCAACTTTTAGTTTCGGTGCTAAATTGTTTAAAGCAGATTTTGTAGTAGTTCTTAATTGTACTCATGACGTTATCCTGAGGATAAACTTTCTGAAAGAATGTGGAGCCACTGTGGATTGCGCAGCTGGCGAGCTTCTACTGTCTGGTTTTTGTGAAGAGGCCACGTGATGCCAACAGACTGTTGCAGTCGTCGATGACACAGTTTTACTGGCCCAATCGATAGTTCAAGTGCCCGTGGATGTTTGTGGTATCACAGCAGATAACGTTGACGTTATAGTTCACCCAATCCAGCTGAGCTGTGCGAAGAAGGATGTGGCTGTGCCGCATTGCGTGATTTCTGCATGTAGTGGCAAGGCCTTGGTATGGGTGGTCAACTCCTCTTCCGAGCTGATTGTACTGCCTGGTGGAATGAGGCTGGCTGTGTTTGAATTCACCGTTAGAAGCAACGTTAACATTGCAGTCATTAGCAACAACAGGAAAAAGGAAAATACCTCTGATGTGGCTTGTCCTAGTGATGACATACTAATGGATATGGTGAATAAGTAGCTATCGCCAGAGAAGAGACAAGCGTTAGTTCGAATCCTCTCCAATCATGCATTCGTTTTTGATTTCGCACTGAATAGTCGCAGAATTCCTGCATCACCTTCGCACACTCGTCATGCGATTGATACTGGTTCCGCCTATCCCATTTATCAGAGACCATACAGAGTAGCTCCAGTCGGAGCATAATGTTATTGCTGAGCAGGTGGAAGAAATGCTGTCTAAGAAAGTTATACAAGCGTAGTCTAGCCCCTGGGCAGCACCAGTTACACTTGTAAAAAAGAAGGATGGGTTTTGGAGATTCTGTGTAGATTACCGGTGGCTCAACTCAGTTACAAAAAAAAAAGTATATCCGCTTCCCCGCATCGACGACGTTATCGATTGTTTGCACTGTGCTTCGTACTTTTCTTCCGTAGACTTAAGATCGGGATATTGGCAAATCCTTATGCACTTTGCTGAATAAAAAAAAAACGACTTTTATAACTCCAGATCGTTTATTTGAATTTAACGTCATGCCGTTTGGTCTATGTAACGCTCCAGCCACGTTTGAGCGCTTTATGGACACAGTTCTCAGTGACTTAAAATGGGAAGTATGTCTTTGCTATCTTTATGACGTTGTAATCTTTGGCCGCATGTATGAAGAATACAATTGACGACTTGATGTCGTTCTCCCGTGCCTTGAGAAAGCAGTACTTACCTTGATTTACAAAAAGTGCCATTTTAGTGTTCGTGAAACTCTAATTCTTGGCCATCTCGTAGACAAACACGTCGTTCGGCCTGATCCCCACAAAATCACCACGGTCAGCACTTTCCCTCAACCACACTTGCTACGAGAACTCCGAAGCTTCCTGGGCCTGTGTTCGTATTTCGGGCGCTTTTTTCCTAGCTTCGCCTGTGTTGCTGAGCCTCTTATACTCATCTGCTCAACAAAGATGTACCTTTCAAGTGGACAAAAGAGTGCGAGTCATCGTTCTCGCAGCTGAAGCTTCTACTCACTTCTGGGCCTATTCTTCGTCATTTCAACGCATCAGCCCCAACTGAGGTTCACAGTGACGCAAGCGGAATTGATATCGGCGCAGTATTAGGTCAGCGTCATGGCACCGCCGAACATGTCATTGCCTACGCGAGTCGTTCTTTGAGTAAAGCTGAGTGCAATTACACTGTTACTGAGCAAGAATGTCTGGCAGCTGTCTTCGCCGCGCACAAGTTTCGCCCGTACACCCATGGCCGCTGATTCTCCATCGTCACAGATTTCCACTCACTTTGTTGGCTCACTGGTCTACTAGTTCCAACCGGTCGTCTTGCACGATGGGTGCTCCGTTTGCAAGAATATGACGTTGATGTTTGCTTCAAAAGTGGCCGCCGTCACGCGAACGCTGACTGCCTATCGCGACTTCCCCTTCCCACGACTGAATGCGACGCCGACAATTTAGATGACTGTCTGGCCGCTTTTGACTCACGTTTTCCAGATTTGGAAGCGTTCCGTACAGAACAATGTCAAGACCGTAGTCTGGCTCCTTTTTTCTCATCTGCCATCGATAAGCTGCATCAGAGCCTATTCGTCATGCAGGATGGCATTCTTTACAAGTGAAATTTTGCTGCGAAGGGGGCCCGCCTACTTTTGGTTGTCCCCAAATCATTGCGGCACAACGTGATGCAAGCTATGCACGACGATCCAGCATCTGGGCATATTGGGTTCGCCAAGACCTATCACCGCACACTGAAATGTTTCTACTCGCCCCGCATGCGTCAGGCTACAGCTAAATACGTGACCAGCTGTGAAAATTGTCAACGATACAAGAGTCCAACAAGTGCGCCGCCAATGTTTCTCCATCCCATACCGCCTCCATGTTTTCCCTTTGAGGTCGTCGGTATTGACTTGATGGGCCCTTTTCCACGATCTGTCACTGGGAACTGCTGGATTATAGTCTCTGTAGACCACCTCACTCGTTATGCTGAAACCGCAGCGATCTCTGCCACAACAGCCGATCACGTTTGTGACTTTTTGCTACGCTACATCATCCTCCGGCATGGGCCCCTCGTGCCATCATCAGCGACTGTAGCCGGCAGTTTGTAGCCGACGTCGTAGAAGAGTTGATTCGCCGGTCCGCTTCCCAGTTTCGTCACGCCACTTTATATCATCCACAAACCAATGGTTTGACTGAGCGTGTCAACAGGACACTCGTTAACATGCTCACTATGTACGTTGATTTCAAGCATAAAAACTGGGACGAAGTTTTACCATTTATGACCAATGCCTACAACACTGTGCTACGACAGACCACGGGCTTTAGCCTGTTTTACCTTCTCTACATCCGTGAGCCACGTACTACTCTCGACACAATTCTCCCATTTTCAGAGCAAGAAAACCCGTCCCTTGCAGAGACACTCTGTCGCGCAGAGGAGGCAAGGCGCGTCGTGTGTCTCCGGACTTTCGAAGCCCAAGATCGTTCAAAGGCTCGCTACAATGAGCGACATAGAAATGTGTCGTACAGCGAAGGTGCTATGGTGTGGCTGTGGACTCCATATCGCAAGAGTGGTTTGTATCAAAAGTTTCTGGCCCCCTATACAGGTCCCTTCGTCGTTTTGTCGCGCCTTAGCGATGTTACGTACGTGATATCACACCTCACATCCTCTGGCCATCGCTCCAGGAAAACTGGCGTCGTACATGTCGCCCGGTTGAAGCCATACCACGCGCGACACTAACTCGCCCAGTGGGCATCGTCTGCAACGAGGAAAATGATACGGTACTTTCATTGAAGTGGGGTAGAAGAGAAAGAAGTAAATGTGTTCTGTGCCAGGCCTTATTTCTGCAACCATCTATCATCCCGCCTGTACAATAAACATCTCTCACTCGTAACAATATGCATTAAAATGAGATAAAAGTTAAAACCTGTATAATATTTGGCAACAAATAGCTGCACATTATTTTATGTATGTGAATTTTGTGTGATAATGCCAGTTTATGTATGTTAAAGAAGTTTCTGTATATAAAAGAGAAAAAGATCAACTTGAGGCCACAGGTTTACTGTGCCTTAATCGGCAATAAATTCTTTGCAACTGCCTTTTCTATACACCAGACAGGATACTGATTCCTTGAATTTCTTGCCTTCATTTATTCATTCAGCTTATTAACTATATTCAGATAATTACCTTCTTATGCATGGCATGACTTTTTCAGCTAGACATTATCTCTGCCTTTACTTAAAGGTGGGAGGGGGGTCTTAAAATAGCATAAGATCGTAAAAAATGCTGACTTGCGAAAATTGCAATTGAAGTATTTTTAGTTTAAAGTATGTTTTGGAAAAATTTTATATTATCGCAAAATACCATTCCTTTTGTTAAAATCCCAATATATGAAATACAAATGTTTTTATAACTGGAAACATAATTTTCTTGGCATTGTTATTTTCAGTGAAGTGAATCTGCTTTACGGAAGTTTTGAGCAAGTTTTTGTGAAGATATCTAAACAAACTTGGTACCATTCTTTTCCGCAGCCCTTGAACTACAAGCTAGAGCTTTTTTTCATATCTCAAACTTGATAGAATCGTAATTATTTGATAAATACCAGCTAATTACTGGAAGCTCATTTTATGCTCCAAATTTAAATATTATTTTATCAAAGGAATAGCCAGTTTGATATCTAGTTTGCTTTAGCCCGTAAGATGTACCTTTTAGAGGAAACATGTAGTTTTGAAAACTAACTTTTTTTTTATTGCGAGTTACCATAACGACCCGTAAGAATATATCTAATTTTAATGTAGGAATCTGTCATTACTTTTTTATAAGTGAGCTATTTGAAATCTGTTTGCAGATTAAAAATCTCTATTCGATCGTACGCATGCATGGTAATGTTTATGAATGATAGTACAGTAACAAATATAAAAAATTTAAACCCTCGTTCTCCCTTAAAGCCTTTCTTTATGCACGCTAACATTTTGAATGTAGTTATTTTTCAAAGGTTGTTGAGAGCTAGAACGATTGACCTGGTTTGTTCATGAACTGGCACTGTCATATTTTGTAGATGCACTGTCATGATAATAATGTTGTTTATGTTTCGTTTTTGTTTTGCATTGCTTTTGTGTCAATTATGTAAACTATGTTCTTTGTGAAAATGTATTCTACTCCTAATAGCCCCCGGACAGGGCAGCTGTATTTGAAAATAAAGAAATAAATCAATAAATAAACAGAAGGAAACACTAGAACTGACCTGGTTCAGGTTGTAGTTCAGTTTCCTCGCATGTCAAAGCTATTCGAGCTACTTTGTTCCTGACAATTGTTATATATATATATATATATACATAGATATATGTGTGTGTGTTTCAAATTAGGTTTGGGCCTTTAAATGTTAGTCACAATTCTGGTTTCGGTAGTTTCCTGTTTAAGTTTCGCTTGACAACCAAGGGAGCATTGTGTGGCAGTGGTGCCCATCGTGTTCATTTCAAAGAGTTAAAAAAAAAACAACTGATATGTCCACAAAATAAATAAATATTGCAAGTGACATTACGTGTTATTAACAACAAGCAAGATTATTAACTTGCTGACAATTATCTTGATTAATTTACTAAATTAAAAGAAAAAGCAGAAACAGGCTGCACATGCACCCATTTAAAAAAACAAGCAATGATGCATAGCATAGATGCATGTGTCTGACTGCATAGAAAGAACGAATACGAAGCCAGAAGCGGTGCATTCCCTCAGAGTCATGGAAAATGCTTAAGCAATAAAAGCATGGTACGCATTTGCAAGCGATGGAGGTGGTAAAGTTTTGTTTGTGTAAAGGGTCCTCAAGGACGCACCATTGTTAGTCAATGTGTACAGGGCACCTCCCACACAGGCCTCCTACGTTCTTAGGAGCAGCGAGCTACAAGATCAACACTGAGCTGTCTAGAAGGCTTATAAAGCGGTAGAGATCCACAAGTTTCCCATGTGCGAATGATGACATATATGCAGAATTACTGAATTCAGAAAAAAAAGAGTACAAAATAAACAATGCTTGAACGATTCATTGTAGAGACAATCAATACTACGGTATTCAACCCCCCCTCCCCCTTCAGGCTAGGCCACTGCATGCAGCAAACTGGTACTGATCTAGCCAACACATTAATGGGTTAATAGCTATATTTCTAACGGGACTAAAGTTGTCGAAGTAAATAGCATGTTTTCCAAAATTACCATGGCTACCTCCAGCATTCTGCAAAGTACATTGCCTCAGTCTCATATGCAATATCTGTTGACAATTTTTTTTTGTGCTGTCAGTACTAACACATGTCATTGCCCTCGTATCAGACAATAGAAAAGAAAAAGAGGCAACAGGTAAGCGCTGATGGCAGCTTTGTTAAAATTAACTTATCCTTAGGTTTAAACCAATTTTAGCAATGCTCCCGTCAGCATGGATATTAACCGAATGTTTTCTCAAACACTGGCGAGCTGGATTCCTGGCATAGCCCAAACAACACAGCTTCTTGGGTGTCAGGAAGTATCGAAAAAATCTGTAACAGGAACGACATCACTAGTATAGAAGCCAGCATAAGTACAATATACCCAAGCTTTTGCTCTTTTTATTCACAAATTAAAGCATAACGCTGCAACTACAACTCAAAATAACCATTACAAACAATTAATCATGCAAGCATGAAAAGCCTACTATGCAATATACTATGTAAATATGTGTATAGTATTTCTTTTTGCAATGCAAGATATCACCCCCACACACACATACACCAAGCCTGTGTCAGCTACCCTGCCACTTCCCTCGAGTTCCTGTCACCTACCTCTATCATTGATTAGGACAATTGAGTGGGACAAATTTATAGAATTTATGCCTAGATGTAATTCTCGTGATGACAGTTACTAAAAACAAAAATGTCATGACCCCTCCCCCCCCCCCCCCCCACCCTCCTTGTCCGGTTTTACCTCGAGTGACAGCCCCCAACCCCCCCAAAAATGAGTGTCTGGATCCGCCTCTGCTTCCACATCTGCACATGCTATAGTCTTCTCCCTCACAGTGCTCTAACTTCACTCCCTTGTTCCCTAATGCATGACATGTAAAGACTGTCAGGCGCAGGGCGCAGTGGCATCTCATCACTCTTGGACTTCAAAACAGAACGTCATGCCAGCGTTGATGTCGAGCTTTTTCTCGAAGTGTACGTTTTGATCGTTATCATATTTAAACTTATTATATTATGGCCACATGACCTACGAGTCCTAATTATCTTTATTGTGAGCTATACTACCATCGCCGTGTTTACATGAAAACAACAAATTTAGGGACATGGTACGGCCTGGTAAATATCCTATGTTTCTGGTTTCTCTGCTAATAATGAGAGAGCAGATGGCCACACTTTGAGTATTTCAGGAAGCATGATGCTTGCAAGACTCAATTCTTAGAAATGTTTATTACCGCCAACAAGGCATCACTTTGAACCAAGCCAAGAGCCACAGCCAGAATATTTGATAGTTCACCGCAGTAAAAAGACCCATCACATTTTGAAAAGCATCACTGATAATTGAGTCATAAAATAATTCAATGCCAGTACATCAAGACACATCGGAAACGTAAACAGCATTCATGGCACACTTAAGTAACCCAACCCTTTCACAGAAAATAATAATGATGGTTTGCTGATGGTTATTGTTGTTGACGCTTAGCGCTTAGCTTTGTTTTTTGTTGTGTTTTGCTGTGCTGTCCAGATACCATTTCAATGACGGCTAACCAACAAGTCCATTATGCCACCCTTGGCCAATGCAACGGAGGTTGCAATGGCAAAGAACCTGATATGTCGTGAAAACACCAATGAAGTGTGATGTATCACTCATCTCATGCAATCAAAGTGATTTACCGGGAAATCAAGATGATTGTCAGAAAAAAATCAACAATAATTATCTCTCACCCAGGTCATATATGACAGTCACGGCAATAATGTAGTACGTACATGTAAACGGTGTAATTGTAGGGCTGTTCGTTAGCTGGTAAATAAAATCCTGTTATTACACCCCAAACACGTTTCACGAGAATCGTGTTGAACCAAATTGCTTCCCTATTTTCACAGCCCCTCCAAAAAACCACATTCTGTTCACTATTTTTTTTAATGTACACACATACACACACACACACACCAGTTAGCCTGCCTCAAGACAATGGAATTGGATTTTGCTCAGCTAAGAGGACTCCAGTGACCTATTTAGTTCATTTCATTTCACAAGTTGCACGCAGCACTTTGGATGCTACACTGCTTTCAGCCGATTTCTTGATGAAGAGAACCTAACTTTTTACTGCCACGGATACTAATTACTCTTTTCTTACCATGACTATTTCAATTGATCACCGGTGATCGGCACTTTGAACCGTCGATTCTGGCACGTTGAACTTGTTTCTCGTGCACCCAGTGCTTTCTAGTAGTTAGTCCAGCCACTCAACATTCATAATAAATGTCAATTTACTGGTATTGGCTGCACAAAATGCACTTAACTGGTGAACTTGACAGACGTGCTTGCCCTTCATGCTTATGATTTATGTGTTTATTTATTTATCAAATACTGTGGACACGTAGTCTAAGCAGGTAGGGCAATAAAATGGTATAACAGTGAACATGTTGAAAAAAAAAAAAAGAAGTAACAAAACAAGAGCTACAGTAACAGCAAAGTTATGTATCTGTAACAACAAAGCTCTGTAATCAAAAGAGCAAGCCAAGTATCAAATTAACGTGTCAGTTTTGCAATCTGACAGTGATGTGCTGTAATAATTGCCAGAAATTTATGCCAGCTATTCAATAGAGAGTAAACGCTAAGAGTCAGGGAAAATTTATTCTACAAAAAAAAAAAATGTTTACAACGGTCGACCACATCGTAATGTGTGGAGGTGGCTTTCTCAACCTATTTCCAGCAGCTTTCGTTTCGCTTGTATTGCTATATCAGACACAGAGCCGCAACTAGTGTCACTAGTCGCTCCTATGGCGACGGTATCATGTGCGCATAGGTGCGCACCTGCACTGTAAAAAACATGCGCCACTCAAAACTGTCTTGCAGCCACACCTGAATTGACTGAGGACAAGCTTAGAGTCCGAGGATGACAGCAACTTAGCTTCGAAGTTTTTGGCGACGATGTTTAGCGTCGGCCTGAGACAACGGCAACGATTCATGTTTTTGTTTGTTTATGGCCTCAAGTTGTCTCCTCTACTGCAAGTGCGTAGTTAGAAACCTTTGTGCACAATCTTATAGCTACCCTGTTTACGTGCGAGGCTTACATGTCGCTGTGGCGCGACACGCTGGCGTTGGCTGCAGAGCTTCTCCTCACTACAAGAAGGCGATTGGAGCACATCTGGCCCTGACTACGGAGCAGCGCGAAACATTTCAGGACTATATGCTGTATTGTTCCTTTTTTATACAATGTGCAAAAATGCAAGGAAATATGTTTGCATGCATATTGTCGCTAGGTGAAAATAACAGAATACAGGACGACGGTGTGACCAGGAAAAGCGAGGTCTGTATTAACAGAACAAAAGTGCAGCCGCTTCGACGTCTTCTTCCTTGGAGGAACCGCAGGAGCTGTCCACGCTCATCACTTCGTCGTCCTCTGTCTTCTTGCCCGGCCTTTAGCCGTGACAATATATTGGAACGTCAACCTATGCGTAGTGGCTCATGGAAAGAGGTGACGCTAGACGAAATAGCAAAGTTCACAGGACATCTGATTAATGAAAGGATTATTCAAATCACAGGCATCTATTTATATTGGAACACCTCCAGACTCTTATTGCAAAAAAAAAACACCAACAATTTACTGAGAAAAGTGTATGCGTTCACTTGTGTTTCACGAAAAACCAAGCACTGCTTCACCGCATGGCATGAGCAGTGAAGCAATGAGCAATGAAACATTTTATGCAGCATTTACTAATCTTATACTGTTTATAGGTCATTTAAATTCAAAATGTTTATTTTGAATTTTTTTTTGTTTTGAATATTTCTGCACATATAGTGTTTCTTATTGTACTTTTTATCAGCTGGAAACAAAAAATTACACTTTTCACATTTTTATTTATGCCACAACATTTCTGTTGCTTTAAAACAAAAATATTTTGGAAAAAGCATTTTATTGTGCAAAATTCGGTATGTTAAAATGCGTGCTGGAGTGCTTTTCAAACTGGAAAAGCAATCTCCCTGAGACATATGAAAAACAACCATTTTTGCACAATAACCAAAGAGTTAACTTCTATAAATGTGTTACTTAGAACTCCATATAAAAAAATGCACAAAAATTC